AGTAAAAAGGGTCTCCGGTTCTCTACACTCACCATACGAAACACAGCAGCATTGAGCTGTTATTTTACGCTGGTATTCTGTGAGAGTGTGACCATATTATATTCATGTAACCAGATATTTAATTAGAATAAATGCGACGCCACGCCACTAAGTTATTCTCTGATTTTTTTCGCGTCTACATTGAAGCTCATTATGAGCATATGTTAGTGAAAAAGTTATACTACATACTCGTACTACTTCAAAACTTGCAGCTTAATACTAGCAACTACAAAGAAAAGAATGCTGCTGTGTTTTATATGGTAAATAGAATAGAATATTTTTATTCAATATTGATTACAAGTCATTCTTATTGAAAGTCATATTTTTACATTACCACTGGTTCGAAAAATATCCTCTGTCCTGGGAAGAACCAGCAAGAAACCCAGCGGGACTTTTTTTTAAATACATTTTACAATATAAATGATTACAAACTATTTACAAACTTGGTAATAGAGAGACCTTGTATATTTTTTGGGATCTGGGATCTGGAGAGAACTGGAGACCCTTTTTACTGGCAACGAGGCTTTCCATCTTAGTCATCAGGGGTGACAACGCATCTGCATTTTAATTCTTTGTTGAGGCTAGATGTAGATGTCTATGGGGCACTTACTATCAGGTGGACTGTGTGCACTTTTGTCACCATTATGCTATAAAGAAAAACACTAAAACAAAGTTATTCAGATTTGAACAATAGATGCATTTTTATTGTGGCAAAGATTATATCAAGTTATGTATAAAGGGTAAAGGTATATCATAATTTTAAAGAAAACTTAATGTGGATTTTGGGATTACTTATTATTTTTCAGAAGTATTTTATTATTGAAAATTAACTGAAACGAAGCCTCTGGATCTTTATTAGCATTATTGTTATTGGAATTAATATGGGACCATTGCCAAAGTATAATATTACGACAATTAATAGAATTAGGCGTTACTTTGCGGAAGTTCATTATACAAAAAAACACAGTAGTAGTGCTGGGATTAGTGGTGATGGTGATAGTGCAAGCAATTGAGGGAGGGTGTGAGGTGCTCTTCAAACTAGGTAAGTCATATTATTTTATACACATCATTTTATTTTATCGAGCGGAAGTACGCGAAGTAATTTTTTACCAACTTTAGTATAATATTACTACAAAAATACAACAGAAGTCAATTAAAATTCAACTTTTTTCATTAATTTTTAAGTTTTATTTTCCCAAAGCTTGACGGACGAGTTTCCTTATTTATTAGACACTATGTAAATAATGGTAAGATCCACAAACATAATGAACACAAAATCCCAATTTAATTTTAGTCAGTTAATACGTGTAATTAAAAAGGACGATAAAGGCACCCCTTTATGACAATTCACGTATCCACCTGAACTAAGTAGCATCATTGTAAAAAATATCCCCCCAGGGGGTAAACGAGGGGAGGAAAGTAATTTAGGGTGATACATAGTACACCCCCTCCCGCTCGTAATTACGGTGGGGGTGGGGGGCACGCGCCCTTTTTGCGTTTGAATGAAGGCCCTGGCAACTTTGACGGGGAAATTCTTAGGGCTATTTGCCTGTACTGTGCTGGAGTTAGTTCTTTTTTCTTTCTTTTGTTGGCGTTTTGTTTTTTGTACTTCCGTGCTAAGGTGTTAAGAACATGCTATGTACGTTATGTCAATGAAAATTTATAACCATCTACCGAATTATTTAAGAATGTTAACAACCCCTGCGCAATTTAATAACCAATTACTCAAAAACATTGAGTTTTTTTTTCCAACTTACTATAAGCCAGTGCTTTACCACGATCCCACCTGGTGGTAAGTGGTAAAGTAGCCTTAGATGTAGTAAAATCCCACTGTCTTAGCGTAACAAAAGTCTATTCGCTCTTGCCTTGAAGACGCTCAAATTGTTTTCGGACGGAAAGATAGACGCCAGCAAATTATTCCACTCCTTTTGGTAGTAAAACCCAAGAATCGCTGTAAGTAAACTGTTCTCAAAAATCAAAGGCCTTAGAAATGCTGTAAAAACGCAATAGAGCGAAGTAAAAGTTAATTTTCCGTAGTATCATTTTATGTTTATGTTGTTGTTTATAATAAATAAGTAACATAAAGTTTAAATCAATTTATTTAAATAAATAAAATGACAGAGGTTTGTAGTTGTGCGCGGATCACGGAAAAACTACTGGATATATTTCAATTAGGTTTTCTAAGTTTTATTTCTTAGATACTTGGCCCGCATCTAAAAAAAATATTGCGATATCATTATTTAATATAAAGTTATTAAAGTTTTGAGAAACAACGATTTTTATAAGCACGACGTGTTCAGTGATGTGTGTTTTCTTGCCGCGGAGAAACGGGGCAAAAATATCAAACAACGCGGACTAAGTCGCGGGTATCAGCTAGTCTATGATAAAAACTTTTTTTTTAATATAATGTGATAGGGTCATATAACAGCTTTGCTTTTTTATTGAATAAGGAGTACAAACTAACACACAATCCAGCTGATGGTAAGTACATGCTGTGGCCAATTGCTCTTTAATTTTTTATATATTTTTAACTCTTTTTTAGGGTTTCGTACCCGAAGGGTAACAAACGGGACTCTATTACGATGTCTCCGCTGTCCGTCCGTCCGTCCGTCTGTCAGTCAGCAGGCTGTATCTCATGATATTAATCGTAGTAATAAATCACGTAATAGGTAGACAGTTGAAATTTTCACAGAATGTGTATTTCTGTAGCCGCCAAATAATAAAAATTGAAAATTAAAGGGGGCTCCCTTACTAGAAACGTGTTTTTTGGCATATATAGTATTAAATCTTGTACAATGGTACGGAACGGGTGGTATGGTATGTGTACGGTTCCGTTATTTGCCGGTTTTTTTCTATTTTTCTACTTTTAGTAATATTCGTATTTTGGTTCATCCATTACTAATCTAATCAATATAAAGTATTTAACTAATATTTCAAAGACAAACATTAATCACTACACTTTTTTAACGAATTAACTTCCCCCGCCATGAAATCTGTCAAATATGACACTTTGGTGTCAGAAAAAGTCATGGATGCCTAATGAAAACACTCTTGTTTTTTATACATACATAAACACTCACGCCTGTCACCCAGAGGGGTAGGTAGAGACTACGTACTTCCATTTGGCACGATCCACAAAAAAAAAACCACATAAAAAGTCTAAGTTTTTAATGAATGACTAATCTCACGTGACTGTTAAATCATGCGAGGCCGCAAAACGAACAAAAGCATGCACACAGAGGCAATTAGTGTAGTTTTAATTAAGCAATTGTAGTTATGGGACGTGTGCGAATCAGCGGATAGGGTCTAATAAGCGGGCTAGTCTGGAGTTGAATACACTACAAATAGACCGTCTAACGAACTGACGATTTGTAAATTATAAAATAACTGTGCTAAGAAATACACTGTATAAAATTATAATTGTCGTTTTATTACAGTTACGTATGTTTTTTTATAGAGTAATGGTGACAATGGCCCATAGACATCTACATTTATCCTCAAATAAGAGTCAAAATGGAGAAGCTTTGTCACACCTGAGGACTAAGATGAAAGGCCTCGTTCTACACTTCCCGATTTTCTACACTCACCATACGAAACACAGCATCATTAAGCTGATATTTTACGCTGGTTTTCTGTGATGGCGCGGCCCTATCCCGGTCGAGCCAACCATAATATAGCTGCAGTGTGGCCCTACCAAGTGGTTCATGGATTCGAATCCTAGTTAAATCTTACAATTGTGTAAAGTAAAAGTAAAGTAAAATTACATAGGCTTTAGTCTCATTTCTAAGAGGACTAATCCACATAGAGCACTTTTTTTTATAGAATAAGGGTGACAAACGAGCACACAGTCCACCTGATGGTAAATGGTTGCTGTGGCCCATAGACATCTACATCTACCTTCGTTTGCGAATTAAAATGCGTTGTCAGCCGTGAGGACTAAGAATGCCTCTTTTCCAGTAAAATGGGTCTCCGGTTCTCTACACTCACCATACGAAACACAGTAGCATTAAGCTGCTATTTCACGCTGGTATTCTGTGAGAGCGCGGGGCTTCCCCGGTCAGTAGACCCATTCGTGCTACAACTATACTATTAATATAGCTGCAACATGCCTCTATCACATATAAAAATTACTGCTCTAATGTGTGCTGGCGTAATTTACACGTTCTCCAAATATTTTAATTCCTCGGGCATGCAGATTTCCTCACGATGATTTCCGTCAAGTGGTATATAAGCACTTAACTTATAAAGTGCTACTACCATATTTACCTATATTATATAAAAAGTATATAATATAATTAAAATTAAAAAAGCGTGCATAGATACTAGAGAACCCCACAAGGTTCGTTCAACGTGTAGATTTGGTAACTTTTAAATTATGCTGAACTTAGTTTAGATTTAACGGAATGTTCGGAATATAGTCTTGCTAACTGTACTAAAATATCCAGGCCTAAATTACAAAACTCTACTTCAATATTTGTTCAGATTTAACAATTTTAAAGATCTATGCTTTTTTATAGGATAGGGTGACAAATGAGCACACAGTCCACCTGATTGTAAGTGGTTGCTGTGATCCATAGACATCTACATCTATCCTCATTAAAGAATCAAAATGCAGATGCGTCGTCACCCGTGCGGACTAAGATGGAATGCCTCTTTTCCAGTAAAATCGGTCTCCGGTTCTCTACACTCACCATAAGAACCACAGCAGTGTCAAGCTGCCATTTTACGCTGGTATTCTGTGAGAGCGTGGTCCTTCCCCGGTCGAGCTGACCCATTCGTGCTATAACTATACTACTTATATACCTGCAGCATGGCTCTACCACGTAAAAAATGGCGCTACCTATATTTATATTTCATGTGCAGCTTGCTGTATGCTTCTGAAAAAAAAAGTTCAAGGAATGCAAATTTAATCTAAATAACCTTTACATATAAATAAAATTATAGTAAGTCATTGAAGTTACCTTTATGTCAACATCGTGAAAGGGTACAGCGAACCACGGTTTCCCAGTCAGGCTCCGTCGGAAGCCCGTCTCCCGCTCTACAGGGCCCTCCGGTGTTCCAACGTGTGCCCATAAAACAACTTGAACCACTTTAAGTCGCGGCTGAACTTTTTTATAAACATCCTCCAATCTCACTCCAAAATCATCACTCGTATCGCTGATATTCGCAAAAGAAAAATAGATTCCGCAAACCGCTCCCTCCCCTTCCTCGACGCAATCAGCTAGAGCTTCCAAAGTAGGTACGTTCTCGAATTGGCCATTTTGCGTACCCGGTGAATCACATTTCACAAGAACTTTGCCAAAAAGTTTCTCCCGCCAATCCATTTTGAGGGCAATAAAAAGAAACGATGTTACTTATTTATTGCTTATTACAAACATTTCATTTAGAAAATCCTGTTAAACACTTTTGTTTATTTTTCGTTCTTTGCTTAACTTAAATATCAGACACGAAAGTAGTCGAACAGGTTAAACTACTGAAGTATTTATTTTTGTTTGTTTATACACAACACACGCATTTTTAATACTACTTAATACTGCGTTAATTCTAGCATTTGACTTCGATGAATCACAGTTAAAAATAATATCAAAGCATGTATACAAGGAGCAGGATATTGAAGCGCGAGAAATAAGTTTTATTTTTAAATTCGACACGCGTGCGCAGGACCGCAGTGCACGGAGCAACGGCCGCACGCCCTCGTAAACAAAGACAGACTGCAGGAGGAGGGAAAATGAGGGAACCCTATGTCAAAGATTATGCATTGTATAAAACAGGTTTTTATTTACATAGAGATTACATTAGTCATTATAAACTCATGGAATTCGGTAGATGAGCAATTTAACATTATAATAAAATAAAACAACTAAGAACCGTGGTAGCTTAGGAGGTAAGCGTTCGCTATAAATTTCTCAGTATGCGATTAACGGGTTTGATCCCCGTCGCCACTAAAAAAATTGTTAATTGCAATTTTTTACTCATCGTTGAAGGAAAATATTGTGAGGAAACCTGAATGTTTGAGAAATTAAAAAAAAATATTTCAAAGCTCAAAGTTCGTCAACACGCACTGGAACTGCACGGTGAACATTTCATTGCCATAAAATCCTCTCCGAAAAAGGAGGCATGTGGCTGGCATTTGTACGAATATAGGCTATAACTTCACTTTTTTATAAGCTAAATTGCTCTGTTGCAAGGAGTCGCCTAGACCGTGGATGGAACCACACTCTTGTAGAATACCAGCGTAAAATAGTAACATAATTCTGATTTGTTTCGGTGAGTGTAGACAACTGGTAGTATTTTCTTTTAGTTCTAGTACATTTTGATTCTTAATCGAAGATTGATGTAGGTCCCTATGGACAACAACGTCTACTTACAATCAGGTGGGCTGTGTTTGGGTCGTTTGCCACCCTCATTCTACAAAACTTAAACTTTGTAGAACGAGAGTAAAAAACGACCATATTTTAAAAAAATTGACCCCTTTGGTTTTGAGTGTACTAAGGTATATCGCATGTTCAAGAAAACAACTAGAATGTTTTTTATTGAAACATCCATCTCATATTATTCACCCTTAGGGACGGAATTTTTTCTTCAAATTTATATGGAATCAAACCTGAATTCACAATTTAGCAATATATCGCATTGTTCATCATTATCATCATCATCATTACAGATCTTCAAAAGTCCACTGCTGAACATGGACCTCTTCCAAAGAACGCCACAAAGCACGGTCCTAAGCCGTCTGCATACATCGATCGTCACTCCATCTAGTGGATAATATACAGCTTTACATACTAAGTGTAAAACAATTCTACATAATGCGATATATTTAATATGTTAATACATAAAAAGGAATTTACGGACGAATTGAGAACCACCTCATTTTTTGAAGTCGGCTAAATAACAGTAAGCCAGAGGACAGAAGTAACTCTGAACAGCCTTTGACTCTCAGAGGCTGAGAGGTCTCTTAATGTAAAAACGTTGGTATCTCTACAGTTGTGCTCTATGCCAAAACCTCTCATATCTCACGTAGAACTCGGATTGCGAAAGGCTTGTATTAATTCTGCCTGTGAAAAAAAAATCCCTCACTAAAGGCGATGCAAGGGCAAGAAACTTTCCATTTCTTTTTTTTCTCTCTCGAGATTGGGCTGCTCTATGTTAGCATAATTTTTAAGTGATGCAAACATTCTGATGTTTCTCGTAGATAATAAAAATTGTTTAATATTTGATTACTTTTAAATCTTACATTATATGATATCACTTTAAAATATTACACTATTCACCAATCACCTCACAGTTTATATGCCTGGTATTTCTGCCTAGAAAAATTAATTTGTGTGAAACAAGGTTTTAATAAAATGTGAAAAAGTGCCAAATGAACTTACATACTTGATGGATGGTGGCTACTACACTCCCAAAGACACCTGCAATTAATTCTAAATAAGTTGACACATGTAAGCGTCAAGAGAAAATGGGTCCCAGCCAGTAACTATACACGCTTTATATACCTTACAGACTGTAATCTGTAACATAGCAGTGCACGCACTGTTGTGTGAAATAGGTAAGAGAATATAGGAAAAATATATTTTGTACTTGGTAGAGACACACGCTGCGGTTATATTATACTTGTAGCATTGGGTCGGCTCGACCGTGGTAAGACCGGGGCAGCAGCTCTTCAATACTGCTGTGTTCCGTGTGGTGAGTGTAACCGTAGTCCTTTTTTAATCGAGGATATGTCTACACTACTATATTATACTATCACATACCACCAGGTCGACAGTGTACTCGTTTCTATAAAAATAAAAAAGTTAAAATTTTATACAATCGACTTCAATATAAGTTATTAACAATAACTCAAAAACTATTAGTCAAACCTTGACCAAATTTATATGAGACCACATGTGAAGTACCAGCTTTTAACTAGAAAAAGAATCATCGAAATCGGTTAGCCCAGTAAAAAGTTATGAGGTAACACACATAAAAAAACGTACAGTCGAATTGAGTACCGTCTACGTTTTGAAGTCGGTAGAAAAGTTACTTCGTTTTTAAATTGAATGATTTAACACTTACTGCTGTAAATAGCCAAACTCATACTTTTAGTAACCTTTAGTAGATTCAAAGTTTTATTGCAAAGTATTGAGTCAAAAACCAAAAAAGTTCAAAAATGGCGACATTACCTCAAATAGATAGATGACATTGATTTTTTTTGTATTTTGAAAAAGTTTTTTTTTGTTTGGTTGATAAATCCCAATATGTAGCGCTATTTATTTCCCACATCACATTATGTATGGTGAGTGTAGAGGACCGAACAGCCATTTTACTGAAAATGAGGCATTCTATCTTAGTTCTTGGAAGTGACAACGCATCTACATTTTGATTGAAATTTTTTTTATAGAATAAGGGTGACAAATGAACACTCAGTACACCTGATGGTAAGTGGATGCTGTGGCATATAGAGATCTTACTTACCATCAGGTGAGCCGCGCACTCGTTTGCCCCCTCTTCTATAGAAAAAAAAATAAAAATCTACATATATACCCAATTAAGAATCAAAATGCAGATGCGTTGTCACACCTGAGGAATAAGATGGAATGCCTCGTTTCTAGTAAATAGGGTCTCCGGTTCTCTACACTCACCAACTCACCATACGAAACACAGCAGTGTTAAGCTGCTATTTTACGTTGGTATTCTGTGAGAGCGTGGTCATAGCTCGGTTGCCAAAATATTGCAGCGGCAGGACTATACCGCGTATAGACGTAGTACCTGAAACCACTTCGGAATGAGGTGAAATGATTTCATAGCGGGGAAGTTGATTTTTTAGAGAAATGTAAGGGTTAATGTTTCTTGCTGTTATATCTAATATACAAAAAAAATAATGTTTGTTTGTTCGTATTTTCGCGCTGCCATACCGTTAATCAGATTATGCTTAAACTTTGTCAACTTATTGCTTGCACTTGAACGTTGAGGTTATAGACATGGTACAATTAACTTAGAGTACGTGGCACGAGCATCGTAACTAATATTTTACAACTTCAATGAATGCATTATCACTCCTAATTAAACAATACAGCTCTTTGAAATTTAAAACGATATTTCCATAATTATTTCTTCTGTGGCAATAACAAGCCAGCTACATAGTTATACATTTAATCTGATTCGATTAGAAATGTATAAACCAAACTACTGATTTTAGTAGAAATAGAAAAATTAACAAAACGGGCAAGTGTGAGTAGGTCTCGGACATGAAGGACTCCGTGCCATCGTAACACACGTTTCTCGTACGGGGCTCCTTTTGATTTTTAATTTATTTTCATTTTTATTCAACAGAAATACACTTTATGTGAAAATTTCAATTGTCAACCTTTTTTTTTTATAGGATAGGGTGACAAACGAGCACACAGTCCACCTGATGGTAAGTGGTTACGGTGACCCTTAGACATCTACATCCATCCTCAATAAAGACTCAAGATGCAGATGCGTTGTCGCCAGTGAGGACTAAGATGGAATGCCTCTTTGCCAGTAAAAAGGGCATCCGGTTCTCTACACTCACCATACGAAACACAGCAGCGTTAAGCTGCTATTTTACGCTGGTTTTCTGTGAGAGCGTGGTCCTTCCCCGGTCGAGCCGACCCATTCGTGCTACAACTATACTACTAATATAGCTGCAGCATGGTTTTGCTACGTAAAAGGAACCTATAACGGATTATAAGATACAGCCCGTTGACAGACAGACGTACGGACGAACGGATAGCGGAGGCTTAGTAATAGGGTCCCGTTGGTTACCCTTTAGTTACGAAACCCTAAAAATGAGTAAAAAATATGCAAAACATTAAAGAGCAAACTGCTGAGAATTTTTTGAATAATATTGTGTAACAAAAAACTTCACCTCTATCACAACAAGCGACACCTGGTGAGCGGAAGGTTATTAGATTTCATAAGTAATAACAGAGGCGCTCACAAGTTTATTTCCGTTTTATTAGTTATATTTTATATTAATTAGATTAAAAATGAATAAACCAAACTACATATAAATATAACTAAATGTAGAAAAATTAAAAAAAAAAGAGTTATAAAGTGCAAAAAATTAAAAATAAACCACTGACGCATTGTGTTATATAATACTCTAGATGATACAATTATTTCAGGCTTTAAGGACTTAAAAATTAAGAACATTGGCCCATAGAAATATATACCCTAATCTAAAAATATATATGTAATATAGACATAACACTATTAAGGGAACTTTCTTCTTTGGTGCGTCCCTGTATCGGCGAATCATTACCCTGGAAGGCCAATCGGGAGCGAGGAATGTCTCTTTGTGTTTTCCAGGAAC